TGGCGAATCATCCTCGTTAATGAAACGGCGCAAACGATCAGCCTTCTTTGACCCAAATAATCGATCGTGAACATAACGCTAGCCACAGGGCGGAAAAGCCGCGACATGAAGCGACGTGTGCCTCCGGAAATACAATCAGGGAAAGAATCAGGGAGTGGTGCCGAATGGAGTTACTGTTTAAAGAGGCAATGTCACAAAAACGAAAACTTCAATTCCTCCAGCCGAGGGGAAGTGAATCGAAAAGGGTGACCCTAAGCCGATTAAGACTCCATAGCTACCTACGTCTGGCTTGTATGAAGAGGGGAATGGGCCCCAGCGCTAAGGCAACTGAAATAATGGAACCAGCCATCCAGCTGATTTGCGATAGAAAGATGACTCATTTTGAATTGCAGAATTCGGCCAAAGCCGCTTCACTAGCTGAAAACTTGCTTCTCGGGAATCTGAAACGTAAATCACATAGTGCAGACCGCAAACCCGAGCCACTCGCCTACTTGTATTGGGACCCGTTGGGATTTCTCCTTACCAATAAGGAAAGCGGAAGAATAAGCCCCTTGCGCTCAATAAAAGCTACCGGGCGGCTGAAGTCCTCTTTAGATGACTACCAAATGCGTCATCGAGATAAACAAAAGACTTCAGAACCATAGAAAGCCAGTAAAGCAAAACAAACGCTTAACTAGACCAAAGACTAAAATCGAGAAAGCGAAATACCAGAGCACACCGTTGAAGGGCCAAGAAAAACCTCGATACTTCTGGTGATCTAAGGAAATGTCAATCCAGATTATAGGTCCCATTCATAGCCCCGGTGCCCCTCTTAAGAACCTGTGATAAGGTGCGAAAATTCTCGTACTTAAACTTAAATCGAACGAGGTAGCAGTTAATGTTACTGCATATGATCGATGACGACTTCAACCGTCAAAAAGGAGGCTCACCATGCTCGATGATACAGCCATTAGCTAAAAACTCGGAAGTGGGCAACGGTAGCAACAGTGAACTGAGGTGCTTTTAGGCGGGACTCACAAAGCCTAAAAGAGGACTTAAAGCGACTCTAAATAACTCCCGAACAAATATCCCCAGGAAAAATTCTTCGGAAAGACTAAATTAATTCAAATCACACTCATGTGAAGATTGACAAATGAATGCTATCCTTCATCTATTGTAGCCAGCCACGGCGAGGATTGATCTTTGAAATGAAGAAACAGACGTGAGCAAAAGCCAAATTCTAATCGCTAAAAAACAAAACAAAAAATTTTTCCATTAAGTTGAGAAATTGAAAGCAATAAAATGAAATCAGACTGTGGGTTGTTAGGCGCTCACAGACCCGAAGGAGGAATGGATCCGTGCCTGAGGTATTACAGGAATTAGACTATTAGTTTACCGTCTTGTTTTGGGGAAAAAAACCGATTGACTGCGGAAAATAAATGAATTTGAGTGAAGTGGCCGGTTTGAATTAGCTTAGCAGCTATAGAAAAATAGCTGCTATCAAAAGTACAACTCAGGCGCTTGCTTGTTTCCTCCCTTTCTACTCAGTCTTGTTTTACAAACTCTTTACAGTTCTCTTCAGAGGCAATGAAATATACGAAGCTATTCTATTCCAGTTCAGACCCGACTATTCAGTGTTCACTTTTCTACGAGAAAAGCACGCCTCTACGGTCTCAACAAATTTCATTTTTGAGTGACCACGAACAAGAAGGGATAAAGCTCGAAGCAACTCGCGAAGCAAGGATGCTGCAAGGACCTATAAAGGTCGGAAAATTAGCGCGAAACTCACGAATCGCTGTCGAGGGGCTAGAGTAACAGTTCGCGTAGGCATGTTTCAAGCTAAGGAAACCTGGATAAGCTCCGGCCGTTTGCGCCTTTGGCTCGTGTGAGTCTTTACCTTTTTACTCTTTTTAACGCGAGCGTACGAATAAGCTCTCCAAATGTAAAAATCATAGACAATTTTCATTATAAAGGCGCTTGCAACAGAAAATTCCTGGCCTATCGTATTATGCATTAAATCATAGATAAGAAGAGGTACGAAGAGAGAAGTATTTGATACTACTTACCAAAATTTTGATCTGTTTGAGTGAATCAGTTGCTAACTAAACTCGACTAATGCTAACACACTTTGATGAAGACCCGAAGGACGAATATGAATCATAGAACCACTGTGACCGACACCAACTCCTCTGACCTAGAAGTAGAAAGAGAAATCCAAGCTGTCACGAAAGCATTTGGTGCCCTGCTACCAAAATTAAAAATGTACAAGGCGCTGTGCCTCGGTCCCTACTCAATGCAATTGAATGCTCGTCAAGAAGCCGACAAGTCTAGTATTACGCCATCTACTAAATTCCTGGCATAGACGGTAGGACGGATGTAGAAGTTCTCAGAAGGGCTGACTGCTCCTGTGGAAGCTTCTGTCGCCTCATATCACCTTTTTTTTCGCTGGAGAGGAAATTTCAACAGAATGAGCAACTCAAGTCCTCCTAGAGCATTATTTATGATAATCAGTGTCGGGAAAGAGATTTCTTGACGGCAAGAAACTACGTTTTAAAAGATATGTTCAAAATGAAACATGAAAAAGTACGCATCTTAGAATGTCCAAGCTTTAGATCATCCCAAGTGGCTTCGTGCCGTGAACGAATCAATTGCAGCAATTGAAGGGAAGCGACGGAAGAGCAAAAGACAAACGAAAGGAGACTTTGCGCAACAGTCTAGATAAACGTCATATGAATACATTGCCATCGCCGGCCGCTTTCGCTGTGAAGCCGGCCTCTCGACCTACAAACGTGTCTGTCGCGGCCAACAACCCTGTACAGGAAAATAATCATCCAAGTCGGAGACGATGGACTTCCAATACACTTTGCTGATGTGAATGAAATAGCTGACTTTAGTTGTTGATTACCCAATAATCCGAAAAATGTTTGTAGCACTTAAATTTTAGAGTTAAAATTGATCGACGGTCAAAATGATTTTGACAGTCAACTATTTCATGAGAGGAAGGAGAGACACCTCTGCCGGCCGCCGACGCGTTGCCTATCACGCATGCTCTTGCGTTTCCTGACAGAGCGATAACGGTTTAGCCACGTAAGACACAAATTACAGTGTGGGTTCAGAAATTTCCAGCTTACAGTCTCAACAGGGCATGCACATTCCGCATTATTAAAAGAGACAGGGTTTAAAAACCAGTCAGTTTCGACAACAAATCTGCTCGACGGCTACATAAAGTGCCTAATTTCATGCCGCGCGGGAGCCTGGCACTACCGGTTTTCCCGGACTTTTTAAATTCCGGATATAAAATGGCTTCCAAAATAAAAGGTAAAGCAAAGGTCATTGCGTGTAGTTAAAACGATATTAAGAGCCAGATTACTCCAGAAAATTAATATTCTAAAGCTAAGAACAGTTGTTTTACTGCTATTAAGAACCTCGATTAAAAATTTCGAGAAAAGACAGATCTAATCGGAGACTTTCGGTACTTGGAAGTATTGGAAGGACTCCCGAATTGTTCGACAAAAGACTTGAACAAAGAACCGTCGAGTTTAGCTCTTGTTACGGCGCTGGATCTGACCGAGTATTGGGGAACTCGGATAAGGGAGTGGGTGTACCTGTTTTTACAAACCGTAAAATAAAAACTACCAAATAGCGAAACACGCCAAAGTGACCCTGAGAGAAAGGGCAACATTGTATATTAGGTCGGCAAGGCTTACATTAGATTTTCTCCCCGTCGCTCCAATTGTAATTGAATATTCTACGTGTTAAGTTACTAATTATTCAATAAGTTTGACAAACCCTGTAATGGAAATGTGAATAAAGTGTTGTTGTTGTTGTTGTTGTTGTTGTTGTTACGGTCTCAGTAGAAATCCTAAAGATGAGACCGGAAACAATCCTCACTGAACATGGATAAAAGCAAGTATACTTCAGTCTTACTTGAGAGGCATTTCTCGTCCGGTAACACCGCAGTTCCTGTAATTTGGGCAATCAGCTTGTAATCACAATCAAGAATGTCACGTACATCTACCTTTTGGCTAGCATGCACTTAGTATAGACTAGTCCTTTATGTCCGTTCATGTGAACAACACTAGGTTTAACATACATAACGCCACAAAGTTCACTACACTCAGTACCTTTCACGGACATTACTCTTTTCCGCCCTTCTGTACTGCCCTTTTAAGTTTTGCTCCAGCATACTTAGGCTACGATCGATACGTGAACAATCACATCTGTGTTCTTTCCAGCAATGATCCTCTACTTTTCATATGCGGGGAGAATTAAACACAGGATCCTTTGCTGTAGAAAATTCATAATCATGTTTGGTTCGAGCGACCTGTTCATCGAACAATTGTTCGTGCACTTGCTGAGTGTCGGCTCCTTCAGTTTAGCTTCAGGGTATGGCAGAAATACTGCATCCTTTCCTTACTAAGTTTAGACAGATTCTCCGAGGGAATATTTTGATCAATATTTCTTCGAAAAAGAATGCTTTCGTTCGAGTTTTTACTCCGACTATCAGCCATTTTGAAACTGGATTTTTTAAAAAGTCCGGGAAAATCCGATAGTGGCAGGTCCCCGCGCGGTATGAAATTAGGCAATGAACGGGTGGAGGCCGGTAGAGATCTCTCTCCCTCTTCTTCTTTCCTCTCATTTTTCTCTCGCCGTGAGAGAATTCTGCTCGCTGGGAAAGAAAGAGGACGTCGTTTATGTTAATTATTAGTTTCGTCTATAGTTCATAGCGTAATATATACGTATTTACGTATGGTGTTATTTAGTCATATTTAGGAATTGTATTTTTATTGTTGTATGATTTGCTTTCTTTATATCAGGTTTGAAATTGTTGTTTAGAACGCGATCTATAAAACAACTTGCTTAACTTGATTAGCCAATAACTGTCTTTAGCTATTTGCGGTTTCCTACCTCTATCACCTTAGTTTAACAGAAAGGAAATATATCATTGTTGTTATGTTCATGTTTAATTCTAGTAATAATGGTGTTTTTAATTTGTTGTTCTTTTGTTCTGCACAGCAAAAATGGAAGATCTACGTGGAACGAACATGCAATCGCCGTTACCAGCTGGTGAACTACAGGGACAAAACGTACAAGGGCGACTAAGGAAGGTGCAGCAACGTAAACAAACGTCACAAAGGCAGTTGACAGAGATGCCACTACAGCAGGAAAACTTGCAAAGGCAGTTACAGGAAATGCAGCAACGCGAAGAAAATTCGCAAAGGCAGTTGAGAGAGATGCAGCAACGCGAGGAAAACTCGCAAAGGCAGTTGAGAGAGATGCAGCAACGCGAGGAAAACTCGCAAAGGCAGTTAACAGAGACGCAACGACAGCAGGAAAACTTGCAAAGGCAGTTACAGGAAATGCAGCAACGCGAAGAAAATTCACAAAGGCGGTTGACAGAGACGCAACGGCAGCGGGAGTGCTTGCAAAGGCAGTTGCAGGAGATGCAGCAACGCGAAGAAAACACACAAAGAGAGTTTCAGCAACGCGAAGAGAATTCACAAAGGCGGTTGACTGAGATGCAGCGACAGCAGGAAAACTCGCAAAGGCAGTTGAGAGAAATGCATCAACGATTAGAGAACTCCCAACAACAGGTGTCCACCTTAGAAAGACAACTGAGAGGCAAAGATCAGGAATTAAGTGAACTAGAGTTAAGTCTTTCATTAGCCCAGCAAACGATAAGTGAACAACGACGACAGGAAACATGCGACTGGGTCATTTCCCGCAATGAAATTCATATGACAGAGAATTGCCTAGGGAGGGGAGGCTGGGGAACCGTCAATGAAGGTACCTACTGTGGCTGTACTGTAGCAGTGAAGCAAATCCATGACCTGATTCTGTCTCCTCACAACAGGCTTTTATTTGAAAGAGAAATGAATATTGCTTCGGCTTGCCGCCATCCCTGTTTGCTGCAATTTATTGGCGCCACAAATGACGAGGGAACTCCTCTGTTTGTGACCGAGCTCATGGAGATGAGCCTGCGAGCTTTGTTGGCACAGCGGCAACTTTCCGAAACAGAAATAACTGTAATTTCTTTGGATGTAGCTCGTGCGCTGAACTACCTTCATCAGAAGAAACCACATCCCATCATTCACCGGGACGTCAGCAGTGCCAATGTGTTGCTATGGCGACAAGGTGATCAGTGGAGAGGCAAAGTGTCAGATTATGGCACTGCTAATTTCATGCAGCAGACCATGACAGTGGCTCCTGGAGCTATGATTTATAGCTCACCTGAAGCATTAACACCAAACCAAACAATGAAGGTTGGTTATCATTAATTTCAGGGCCCACCTTTTTTATAAGCATATAACACAGGCGGCCCAGACGTAGTGTGTTAACGTTCAGTTAAAGGTATCTTAGCTTTGTTTTGTTATATTATGACTTTTGGACTATTTTAGTTCATGGGAGTTTCGACGACTCATCCCATTTTGTCCATGTGACTGTTAATATATTGACACGCACCACGTCTGGGCCGCCTGTGCATATAACAGAGTTTTTGCGAGCTTGACTTTGGTATCGTATTGCGGAGTTAGAGTTTGATGAGTGAATGTTTTTGAGGTGTGATGTCAGTGAGTCAGTCAGAAAGTACTTAATGTTTATAAGGTTCTTCAGTTGAAATCGTCTCTTAGCATCAGAGCAAGGAAGGTGGATCAAAAGGTATCTTTCTCAAATGTAAACTCAATTTTTCTGCCTAATTTTTTTAGGTCGATGTTTATAGCTTTGGTGTTTTATTGTGCGAAATGTGCATTCGGGAACTCCCAAATCCTGAAAAGCGTGACGAGCAAGTTTTGTTGATGACGAACCGCGTGTTAAGAGGCCTGGTACGGCGATGCATGCAGACAGATCCTGAAGCGAGACCAACCATGCAGGAGATAATCGATGAATTATCCGGAGCTGTGTAACGTCCATTAAATATGTTGCGAAAGAGTTTGTTGTTAATAGATTCAGTGAATTGTTAAAAAAGGTTTATTGCGGGAAGTTGTGTCCAATCGCTTCTCGTGACAAGTAGCTTACAAAAGTGTTATTAGAAAAACATGTGCAATAGATTACGTTACTTGTAAGAAATATTTTGACATTTATTCAAATAATACTTCGTTCTGAAGAAGTTCATAGACATGAGGTAGACAATATTTTTTAATACTTTTATAATTAGAATTGAAGATACGAGTAGATATGGCGCTTATTACAAGTAGTGGAATATACAATTAAATACGCGTAGTAGTCACTAAATAGCAGTTGTATGTTAGGCTGGAGTAGACATGAGTTCCCTATACTGGTAATAGGGAACTTATTCATAAACAGGGTTTACTTCAATTTGTATGTACTTCCTTATATGACGTAGGTTGTAGACGTAAAATTGACGGAAGATACCAGCAGATGTGTCGCCTTTATAAAATTCAGTTTAGGATATTTCAATATAAATTAATCCACCGAATTGTAGTCACCAAAAAGGAACTTTACCGCTATGGAATCAAGGAAGATGATGAATGTATATATTGTGGTGAAAAAGACTCTATTAATCATACTTTTAGAGATTGTCATTTCGTCAAGATTTTCATTCAACGGGTTATCAACTGGTTCAATATAGAAAACAAGATCAATTTCAACCCATCTAGCGAAGAAAGACTGTTCGGCATCCTCTCGGACTTACATGAAAAGGTACTAGTAAGGAAATTCAATTATACCATGTTGTTTATGAGATACTACATCTACGCCAACAAACTACACAACAAACCAATTCTCCTCCAAGACTTCGTTGGTAAAATGATAATTAAATACAGAATTGAAAAGCTATAAAATAGACANNNNAAAAAAAAAAAAATACAATTAAATACGCGTAGTAGTCACTAAATAGCAGTTGTATGTTAGGCTGGAGTAGACATGAGTTCCCTATACTGGTAATAGGGAACTTATTCATAAACAGGGTTTACTTCAATTTGTATGTACTTCCTTATATGACGTAGGTTGTAGACGTAAAATTGACGGAAGATACCAGCAGATGTGTCGCCTTTATAAAATTCAGTTTAGGATATACCGTTGAATCCGTCGCTTAGTAAAGCCCATTAGGTATTGTAATAAAAGTTTCGTACCCGAAAGGTAACTTACCTGTAAAATGTAATTTACTTAAATTTGTACAGTTGTAGTTATCTACTTATGAAGTAGACAATGTTGAAATAGACAATATCGAGTAAAGAAACAATTATATCAGTATATGGCTTATGAAACGTTTTACGATATTCGATTAAATCGGCGGAGTAGCTAGCACATTAAGCGATTATAATTAGAGTCTCCTATCCAATAGGTAACTTACTTGTAGAAAGGAATATACCATAATTCATAAGTTACGTACTTATGAAGTAGGTCACTGAAATTAAATGAAACAGACAATGTTAAATTGACAATATTGAATGAAGACACAAGTATGAATATGGCTCATGAAATGTTAAGGATATACACTGTAAGATTAAACCTGCATACATATACACCTGATACACGTGGATGCTCGCGCATAGGACAAAATTTACCATCACGTGGTCCGAAATGGGAAAACAAAACATATAAGGTAAAAAGGTCTATTGTAATCATTAGTTGTAACATCCATCAGGACCAATCGTATCTTACATTGTAACTTCAAATCATAAGTGTTTCACTTGTAACTGAACTAATCATTGATCGAGATTGATCAAAACACGCCGTGCTCTCTAAAATCAGTTAGGTAGTTGTTCATTTTATACGGATTCGTATCCCAAATCTTTAACAATATTTAAATCATCAGGCAAATCTTCTGAAGATGAGAGAAAAGTAAAACCAATTTCCTTGGGAGATTGTCCAGTACCTTGTCAAAGTCTTCTGCAGTGCATGCTGGGATGCGGCGGTGTGGGTTGCTGATGTCATTGCTGCCAGTATGGCAGTTATTACTTGGTGACTGAAGATCATAAAGTGAAAAGGAAAATAAAGGAACAGGGAAAGAGGGTAATAGCCAAACATAATTATGATGTAATACAGTAGACCTTAGTACACTTAGTAAATAAATAGGTAAGCGAGTAAATAACTAAACTAAGTTTTAGAGGTAGCACTTCCACAAATGCTGGTTTTTGACCGTAGTGTCCGGACGAAAACCTCTCAGAGCAAAGGAGAGAACCAACAACAAACTTAACTCACATATGGCGTCGACACCGGGATTTGAACCCGGGTCACATTGGTGGGAGAGGAATGATCTCACCACTGCACGGGAAGAGAAGATTACATAAGAGTAGGACTGAGAATATTCAAAACAGAGAGCTGAGCTGAGCTGAGCGGAGCACAGCTGAGTAGAACACAGAAGAAGTGTAGTTAGCCTTCAGTTAATCAAAAAATACAGTGTATAGAGTTCTGTTAGCTCAGCCCTGGATATATTGCGTCAACGTGGAATCCTCAAGTGTATCGCTGCAATTTTACTTTGGATATTTTGATCATCCTAGAATGTCGAACAAACTATGTGTCCTTTTGAGTAATTTAAGGCAGCATAGTTCTATCAATATAACCTCCCGCCCCTCGATACCCGTAAAGGTCAATATGTGTATCATATTACCCTTTCTTTGCTGTCCAGTACAGCATTTCATCCAATATGAGAAAGTGATTGCGATTTGACATCAAATTTGCGCTTCTCCTTCGGACAGTCGAGATTTTAATACGAGACTCCATTACAACCCCAAATAAAGTAGATCATTTAGAGAAGACAGGATTACCTTAAGGATAGCACAGTTTATCAACTAAGAACTGAGTTTTAAGACGGAATCCACCAGAAAATTAATTTATAATTCTTTTCTTCTGACACGGATTTGCAATACAAATACGTTTACCGGTCTATACTTGTCATCAACTAGTAACTTGTAATAAATGCGTCTCAATTTAATTTTCGTGAGAACAATGAGGCTTTTGTTTATTTACTGCCGACTGGTTCGCAGCAGGACGCACTTTGGGAAGAGAGATAATTTAAAATTATTTGACTGGATAATGACGGTGAAGACTCTATTTGGAAGAAAATAGTCTTACTTTATTGCTCTACAGTCAATCCAAATCTTTTGTTCAGGCCTTAGAAACAAGAACGAAATTTATAAAATTTGCAATTGTTTTGTGATGACATTGAAAAAAAAAAAAGAGAATTCTTTAGATACAAGAGACAATTCCTACAAGTTTCGATAATTTCGTTTCTTGGTTTTGCAAAATTTACAATTAAAACAACCACTGAATTGGTTTAATTCCACTCTTTAAATACTGAGAATAAAGAACACCATATGTTAAGGGTAAAGATGTTAACCAAAATAATAATAATTTTTTCAGTTTATTTAGTTGGTGGAGAATCAACACATTCTAATTAATTACTATTTGTTTTTTTTGGGGAGTCTGTGGATATGCTCCTGTGTAGAAAAAAATGTGGAAAACTAAATTCTCAGAATCGCAATTTCCGGCTTTCTGAGAATTGAACAAATTGATGTTAAGGTCAATTTTCATTAATATTTTTTTTCCGTGGGTAAAATCTCGCTTTCGTTGTTACAATGAAGTCTTTTTTCTATTATAACTGTCAAGAGTCGTTTTAAGTGGATCGGCAGATCGACTGGCCTTATCTAAAAGTGGTGGGAAAACGCTGATAAGTGAAATTGACTTTTTATATGTATTCTGCCTAATTCTACTTTGAGGGAAACTAACAAATACCTAAATTATTAAAAAAAAATTAATACCTTGCGTGAAACACACAAGCTTCTTATCATTGTAGACAACATAAGCAACCAAAAGCACGTTTTAAAAACTCGCAACAAAACGTGGTGCCATTTTTATTTAAAGACTTTTTATTGTTTTCTGGCCGTGTGGAGTCACGTGACAACATTTGCATAATTGAAAAACACCAGATTGACAGACCACACACGTGACAACATTTGCGTAATTGAAAAACACCAAATTGACACAAACCACACATGTATGTATCTTGCAAAGTCTCATCTTTCTAATGATTAAGTGGTCAGAGATAAACCACCCTCATCACTTTTTGAATGAATCGTTGGACCCATGCCTTAATTTACCTGAGAAGACAAAGGGAAAAAAACTTGAAATAACTAGGGGGAAGAGGATGTATGGTTATCGCCTCGTAGCGGAGTAAACTTGTAGTTTGTGGCATCACTCAAGGTGTTTAGGACCGAACGCCAATATTTTGTGCTTTGATGATAAAAATAAAGAGAATGTTTGAGAATGGTAAGGGGTCAAATAAAACCATATCGTGACTGGTCTCCTTTAGATGATCAACAAGCAACTCCCCCTTTTCACATGGCAGTCCACTGTAAGTTTCCTCTTTCCCAGTTGGGTGAGTTGGACACATGGCTTTCTTAAATTGATCAGTTTGTCTCGCTAAGGGATGCGTTTTACTTTTAATGGTCAACTAAAAGGAGAAGTGTTTTTCTGGAGAGTTTTTCCTTCTTCTATTTCTTCTTTTTTGTATGAATTTTTAGGCAATTCAGCCTGTTTTTTTCCAATCCCTCTCCATCCTTCCCTGAAACAGTAAGCATCAGACGAGGATATTTACCCGGTATTTTTTGTTTCGCTTGCACCGTAGACCATTTACACCGTGACTTAAGCGAAACGAGCAAACTACAAAAGAGAATACCTGCAAAAAGTAAACCTGGTCTGACAGGTTAAAGAGGATCACTGACCCCAGACGTGACATCACGTGTTTTAGAAATGAAAGAGAAACTGTGGTTGGCGGGTAAATTCCCCGTCCAAGATTATTCTTCAAACCTGTGGGCTGCAGCAGCTTTTTGGTATCTGATCGGTTTTCATTCACAGAATTTCTCTGGAGTATGATTTCTATGAACCCATTTCTCGTTTCTTGGACCATTGTTTTTGAAAGTTTACTTTAAAAAGTTCTCAATGTTTGAAGTATGCAGAGTAGGCGGTGCTATGTCAACTAACATGTAAATTTTGCTCGAGCGCGAAGCATTTAAACACATGCAGGTAAAAAGTCACTTTGAATGTGCATTTTGTTGACCTACTAGTATGAGTTTTCACAAAATGGTAAATAAAACCAAACGAAATAAAATGAATAACGCCTCAGCGCACAAATCCAGTCCATACTCGGTCCTTGAGGCAGCTGCGATTTTCAGTAGGATGAGAGACTGGGGACGAGGTGCACTTCCAATAAACAAAATGGATTGGCTCAGTTGGGTCAGTCAGTTGGGCTATACACAGCTTTGTGTTGTACTTGGTACCGTCTCATTGCGCGGTAAGAAGGATGGAGAAGGAGAGCTACAACTTTGGTTTCGTGCGATGTTCAACGATTGCCGCATTTTATATGCCAGTAGGATAGCGGGACATGACGAGATGGTATGTGAGTTATTGATGTTTTTCCTCTTTCACTTCCGAGATTGCACTGACAAAATCAGCAAAATCAAAACGTTATCAACAGAGAAGTCGAAATTTCATTTCGTCCAATACTGAAAACAAATAGTACCATCGTGAGAGTACTGATAGAGGGGTTTCGTCCAGGGGCTCAAGAGTTAGAACTAAATTTTATAGATCCATGACTCTGGGAGTGAAAGGGTTTTAAATATATAATTTAACAATACAATTATAATAAACTGGTTCAAGACTTCACAGGTAGTGCATCGTTTTATTACTACAGCTCTGTTTCGTGTGGCCAAAAGATGACCACACTCATCGGGTAATATCAACGATTGACCGTTAGATTACAACAACTGGCAAAAAAGCGGAAATAAGGTTGCTATGAGATATAAAAACAGCGTTATGTTATCGTGTAAATCATGTGATTGCTATTTATAATTTGGAAGATTGTGTTACTTTATCATAAAGTTCCGTGAGGAGGTAAGCCTCGGGAGGGAAGGGTTACTTCCTTATAAGAGGCTAATAGGAATGTGCCGCTGGATGGGGTCGCATTTTCACAACAGGACTGACTATAGAGGGGTCGAAATTTCAATAGAGTTACTCGAATGGGGTGGCACATTTTGGGGTTTTTTGGGGTAAGACATTTCTTCATATTTACGGTTAGCAAACGTACCAGAATGTTTCCACTGTAGGTGAAAAGTAAAGTGCTCTTCATTCAGTGATTATTTGCCCAAAAGTGGCTAAGATGGGGTCAGCAAAAATTTAGCCAAGTACCCCCCCCCCCCCCCCCCCCCCCCCTAGCGGACACCTTCGGGACCTTCCCAAGTGTCCGCTTTTTATAGAGGTTTGTAAAAATTGCGCAATGTTTGTTAACGATTAACATTCAACGGTTACTCTGTACTGTGATTAAGCCATGTTGTTGAGGAAACTAAGGAAGCTAAGGAAGCTGTGCTGTGCTGTACTTTGCGCAACACTTTAGGTGAACTTTGATCGCGGATGACGATTATACTGCCGGATATCGGTGTAATATGCAGTTATTTGACCTCTAAATGTATTGATTTATCTCTATTAATCGACATACAGTACGTATTTCAAGGAAGTAATCCAATACTACCTCTCCTTACTTTTTTCAGTTTGTAATTATGCCTGAAACTACAATGAAGGTCACCAAGGATACAGTTACAATTAAAGAGCTAAAAGACTGGTGGGGTCACGAAGGACAAACTGTTCAACTAAAAGATGCTGATGCAAATGAGCTTCAGCTTTTTATTGAAAAAATGCCCGTCCCAATCAAAGGTGAGAGTGTTCAAAGTAATTTCCAAAATTTTGTTTAAGTTTTGGTTTTGGAATAAAAAGGTACATGGTTGAACCTCTGTACAAATGTATGGAAACAGGCAGATCAAGGTTAATCAATTTTTTGGTTTTAGTCTTTAAATAAAAAGACGAATACGGGTTAAACTTATTGTATTTACGAAGGTTTATAAAAACAGGTAGCTCAAGCTTATGGCAAGAGTAGTTAGTTTGGTGTTTTTGAATTGAGAAGCGTACGGTTAAACCCGTACATTTGTGTGGATAGCTGGGCTAAAATATTTATAATTGATGAGTGAAATATCCATATTTAGTATATACTAAAACAGTGGATAGTGTTTTTCGCGCGCTCTGATTGGCTACTCAATCAGTGAATATCCTTCACTATTCACTGATTCACCTCCAGTTCCTCCGAACGAGCGACGCCAAACTTGCGTAACTGAGTTGCGGGCAAAATGCCTTCCCGGTTTGCTGCCGTAACAAACTAAGAAATTTCACAACTAATCATGCAAGCTATTCCCAAAATACATGAAAAAGGTGACGAAGTTCGGTTTGGAAGTTTTAACAGGTAAATCTTTGTCTTTTTTACTTAAATTTATCGATAAAACCGGTGAAAAAGTTTTTTGTTTACAAATGCAAATTAAGCTTAAGTCTTGCGCTACTTAATTTAGTTGACTTGTTCATAAATAAGCTTAAAACTAAATTTAATAATATTTAATAATCTTTTTTACAGAATGATTTTAAATAAAAAAAGAATTCACAACTCCTTTTGAAGAAACTTCCCCGCAAGAGCTATACAAACGCCTTCAAAAGTTTTATTTGTCGCTAAGAAAAAGCGATGACCGTGACCGTTCGGTCATCGTGCGCCCAAATTGTAATCGTTGGCAACAGTAAATGAGTTAAAAATCATCATTTTTGTCCTCAATTATCTCACTATTTTAGTATATACTAAAACAATTATTCACCTCAGTGTCGTAGTGGAAATTTACCTCGCCGCTTCGCGGCCTCGGTAAATTATCACTACTAGCCACCTCCACTTCGGTGAATAATTGTTATATAACAAGACAGAATATTAACGCCTATAAATTTTGTCGACCGGGAATCTTCGCGTCAAAACATTGTTCGCTGTTAACAGTGTCAAGAGGGGTAGACTACTAGAACAACATTGATCTTCTTTTTTAAAGCAACAAAGAAGAGCGTGATATCAGGCCGGCGGCCCCTATTCTAGTGATTTGGAGTAAAAAAAATCAGATCATATTTAAGACTAAATGAAAGCTTTGAGTCAACTGCATTAGTCTGTAATTCACAAATCGATTGATGAAAATTGCTTCCTCGCCTCATTTTTCTCGCGCGCTGGCGGTCCCGCCGCCAAAATTTCCCCTCCGATCCTGAATCCTACTCAGTAGTTTTCTTATCAAAAATGTAGTTTACGTCATAGAAAGTGCTTTGTACGGGGTTATATTCACGAGCTTGTTTGTGTCAAAACCCGAACGAGCGAGATACGAGCGAGTGAGAGCTTTTGACACAAACAACTCGTGAATATGACCTTGTACAAAGCACTTTCTAAGACGTGAGCTGTTTATTACACATATTAGGAGAGTTTTCTCTGAAATAGTTATCTTAATGTAACACATAAGCTTATTACTATTAAAAGAGCAAATTACAAATGCTGACATGCAAATGCAAATTTAATAGCAATTGCAAATCTCGCAACACATCCTTAGTCCTCATCGTGCAGAACAGAAAATGCACTTACAAAAGTTTAATCTAGTATGAGGTTACAAAAGACAGACCTCAGCGATGTGGGCTCGTATAGAGGAGTTCACGCTCATAGTCACGGCATCATAGGTAATCAGGGCAAGATGGAGGGAAATTCAAAGATTTGTATTGGAATTCAAAGCCCGCTAATTCTTCCTGAATTCATATATTTGATGCTTGATTTTCCCATACATTTTCTGTAATTCCACAGTATCAAAATTACAGAAAATTTATATGGAAAAATTCAGGTTTTCTAAAAACTCATCACGGATGTCTTTGCACTCCAGATTTAGTGTATTGTTTTTTTGAACTCGTAAGTTACCCTTTTTAAAAGAAACAAAAGCTTAATGTCCAATGTAAACAAATTAGGGCTTGGGAAAGATCATCTTGGAGGGAAAGATAGATGAGAAAAGGAGAGAGGAAGACCGATAAAGTAGTGGGGAGGGGACATGTCACTAACAGAATTAGGAATTAGGAATTTTTTTCTCTTTCCTGAAGCTCTCTCAACAACCGCTGCATATTTTGTTCACGTTGTTGAAACTCCATCAGTTGCCTTTGAGAATTTTTTTCTCGTTCCTGAAGCTCTCTCAAGATTGGCAATTGGTAAAAACTGTTTCCGCTGTGCGGTAAAAGATGCAACGTCCTATGGGATAAGCAGTTAGAGTAAAAATGCGGGCGTGATTTCAATTTCGGACTGGATCGTGTCGAAACGTTTTGATATCAAATCGACTGATTTAAGGTTCATCTGAACGAAAAAATGAGAGCTCGTTCAAAGAAGGGGCTATTCTTGGACACACATTTCAATATTTTGTTTGAGTTTACAAGCAAACCATAATTATTTAGTGACAATCGGAGCGAAACGAAATTCTGATTTTCATCTTCTTCATCAGTATCTCTTAAGCTTATGTGTCGCTCAGTTTAAAGAGAGGAACGCAGTACATTTAAAATTTTCTTTGACGTCAAAATTTTTAATTTTTCTTTTTTAAGTGACACTTAATCGGGTTGCCCATGTTACTTTGGTGATTTTCATGATTGCCTTGTTTTATTTTTTATCATGAATTATCTTTTTAGAAAAAAACCAAAATCTACGCAAAGCAAATTCGCCAAGGCGAACCTCAGAAATAGAAAGTCAGTGGAAGGATTTTCAACGACGTGAGGAAAACTTCCAGAGACAGAAACGGGAGATGCAGCAACGCGNAGCAGTTAGAGTAAAAATGCGGGCGTGATTTCAATTTCGGACTGGATCGTGTCGAAACGTTTTGATATCAAATCGACTGATTTAAGGTTCATCTGAACGAAAAAATGAGAGCTCGTTCAAAGAAGGGGCTATTCTTGGACACACATTTCAATATTTTGTTTGAGTTTACAAGCAAACCATAATTATTTAGTGACAATCGGAGCGAAACGAAATTCTGATTTTCATCTTCTTCATCAGTATCTCTTAAGCTTATGTGTCGCTCAGTTTAAAGAGAGGAACGCAGTACATTTAAAATTTTCTTTGACGTCAAAATTTTTAATTTTTCTTTTTTAAGTGACACTTAATCGGGTTGCCCATGTTACTTTGGTGATTTTCATGATTGCCTTGTTTTATTTTTTATCATGAATTATCTTTTTAGAAAAAAACCAAAATCTACGCAAAGCAAATTCGCCAAGGCGAACCTCAGAAATAGAAAGTCAGTGGAAGGATTTTCAACGACGTGAGGAAAACTTCCAGAGACAGAAACGGGAGATGCAGCAACGCGAGCAGGATTTACAAAGGAAACTCAGAGTGGTTAAAGAACGGTATCAGGACTCTCAAAGCCACCTAACGGATATTGAGCAACATGAACAAAATATGCAGCGGCTATTGAGAGACCTTCAGGAACGAGAAAAAAATTCTCAAAGGCAACTGATGGAGTTTCAACAACGTGAACAAAATATGCAGCGGTTGTTGAGAGAGCTTCAGGAAAGAGAAAAAAATTCTCAAAGGCAGCTGAGGGAGTTTCAACAACGTGAAGAAAATTCTCAGAGGCAGCTGACGGAGTTTCAACAACGTGAAGAAAATTCCCAGAGGCAGCTGGTGGAGTTGCAGCGGCAACTAAGAGAGATAGGACAGCATTTGACCAATTGCCGAGGACAAGTTTCTGAACTACAGTTAAGTCTTTCAACAGCACAGGAAACAATAAATCAATTGCGGAACCAGGAAACACGTGACTGGGTTATTCCCCGCGACGAAATTCAAATCACAGAGAAATACCTTGGGAGGGGAGGATGGGGAATTGTCAATGAGGGAACGTATTGTGGCTGTACTGTAGCAGTGAAGCAGATCCATGAGTTGATTCTTTCTCCTCATAACATAAATCTGTTTGAAAGAGAAATGAATATCGCTTCTAAATGCCGCCATCCTCACTTACTACAGTTTATCGGCGCCACGAAAGATGAGGGAACTCCTCTGTTTGTGACCGAGCTGATGGAGAAAAGTCTACGCACTTTGTTGGAGCAGCGGCAACTCTCCGAGACAGAAATAGCCGTCATTTCTCTGGATGTAGCACGTGCCCTGAACTACCTTCATCGAAAGAAACCAGAGCCTATCATTCACCGTGACGTCAGCAGTGCGAATGTGTTGCTATGGCGACAGGGTGACCAATGGAGAGCCAAAGTGTCTGATTACGGTACTGCTAATTTTATACAGCAGACCATGACAGTGGCTCCTGGAGCTATGATTTACAGTGCACCTGAAGCACTTACATCAAACCAAACAGTCAAGGTAAGTTTAAGTAAATATTCAAGACTGTTTACTTACTAAAACTGTACAGCAAGGCTAACAGTGGCAGAAGTGATAAGTGATGTCCACTCCATAAACAATACATATGAAATGACTATATCTTTGTGAGGAGTCTTTGTACCTTGTTCTGCACTTTTTTCACTCTTTTATACATATCTTCTTCATGGATTTGGTCCACGTAATTGGATTCTTTAATTCATCCCTTCTTGTCTCTAAAGACAACAGTCACGGGATAGCAAAAGTTAATTAGTATTTTTAGAAACAAAACATTTAAGCCAATAACGTACCATGAAGCCTTTTAAGAATCTTCTCTTTTCTAGGCTTTTCTTATCCATTTATCGATAATCATCTATTTTGAATTCTCGAGTTCCTCCCTCTCGTGTTACCTTAACTCCTTTTGTAATCAGTACACAACTAATAAGTAATGTCATGTATTATGATTGCTTTTAGGTTGATGTGTACAGCTTTGGTGTTCTTCTTTGTGAAATGTGCATCCGGGAACTTCCAGATCCTAGTAAGCGTGAAGAACAAGTCGTGCTTGTAACGAACGGTGTGTTTCGCGGCCTGGTACGGCGATGCCTGCATAGAGATCCTGGGCCGAGACCAACCATGCAGGAGATAATCGATGAACTGAAAGATGCCGATGTATCATCTTAATTGTAGAACCAACGGTACACCAGATCATTGATAATCTGCTGTTTGTTGGAAAGTTTTATAACCTACTGGCAAAGCTGTTCCCTCAGCCTGTTCCAGTAGTCGTTCAGATCGTGGGGAGTGGCGCGCACTTTTCTTTGCGCCTTTCACATTATCTGAATGCCTGTGATGGCTGTGATATGAAAATTGAAGAGGGCCCGGTGCTTTGAGCCTGTGAAGATTGTGAAATTCAGGGTGCCTAGAATATGATGTTTAGGAAAAAAAAAATTTTATGCCCAAGAGCAAGATTAAGGCGCCAGGTACCACCGGTCACTGGCTGAGCATAGCCCTTACTGGACAAAAATTTGGTAAAAATAGCACTGAACAGTTCCTGAAGATTTAGCACGGCTGGATTTTCGGATATGAATTTTAATTCATATCCGAAAGAGATACAAAAAAACTTAAAAGTATCTCTATGATCGTTAGACTAACAACAATGAGAACTAATAGCGCTATTTTTACATATGTAATACGTTACTTACAAAATATATTTTTTCACTTTAATATTCAGTATTACTTTCTTATGCTGGAACTTATGAAGGTCATACAGCCGAAATAGACCGCAATATAAATCAAAGATAGGAGTAGATAATGTAGCCTGCGTCGCAGACGTAATCTTAATCCGGTTAGTGACGTCTGTGAAGCAAAGCCGAGATCCTTGTTCTGAGCCCTCAGCGGACTGAACGAATTACCGGAAATGCGTTTCGATTCAGTTCTCTTCCACCTGATTAACAAATTAGCAATGGCTTTTTCAGTAGGTTACTGGCCAATCATAGCGCGTACTCAAATCATGGTACACTGGTGGAGCCCTGAACAAGGATTTCAGCGCTGTTTTGCAGACGAACTTGACCAGAGGATTTAGTGATTTCTGTTCGATTCTTATTTTTGTCCAAGGTTCAATCTTTTCTTTCTTTTGATGGTCGTTGTGCGTTGTGTTTTGGCAAGACTTGGCATAGTGCTAGTAAGTAAAAGCGGAAGTGTTTTTGCCGAACGTGTTTTTATTTCTCATTTCATCAAGAAAGAAAAAAATTGCATTTTAGAATTTCTGAACAAAGTTAAAAGCAATACTTTGATCTTTGCAAACTAAGAAGCTGTTTTGAAACAGTCTAGCCCATCTCCCGCCTATGCAAAATACGTAGCCTTTGTTTATTATGGAAATCCCGAAGACAATTAATGCGGAAGTTTACCCGTTCAAACAGTGAATTAAGGTTGAAGGTGGAAATATCACGTTGAGGATAAAAGCTACCGGTAGTCTTCAGTGACTAAAACACTGCGAGTCTGCAGTTAATTAAAAGACTTGTAATTAATTGTTAAGAGACAAAACTGGTACATTTTAACTTGAATTTTTTCAAATGAATGTCGCTTGGTTTAGCTTGATGTGGAGAGCGCATGTGTCGACAAAAACGAAGGGCGCTGCAGATTGCAAAAAGTTTTTACTGACGGAACCAACTAAACGATCTTAAGCATGTTACTGCAGCGTCTACTTGTACTTCTTCTTGTACTGCATCTCACATCAATCCAACCTAACGCTAATGAGAAAATACGTTTCATAACTTTTGACAGCGTATTAAAACCGTCTAAATCCGTGTTTATCATATATGAATATGGTCCCAAGTGTTTCGATTCAGACCTGTTTCTGCAAAGTAGTGGTTGTTCAAATGCCTATAAGGAGTGAGCTTTAAAAAACATTCGGACCTGTGTCTGATAAATAGTGGTATCGACTACATGTTGACTTGGGAGAGAACCTTGCAGGAATCGGTATCGATGAAAACTTTGTTGCTATGCCTTTTTCGGAAAGCATGAAACACAATGTGAGCCAGCTATTTGTTCTGAAGAGCTTCTTGGTGTAACGAACCAAGCTGGTGGAACTGTGAAGGGCAAATACTTTAACAACTGTTACGTCATTTGCACGAGTGAACAAACCCATTTCCCGACAAAGATTTAGATTTAGTGTTATTCTAGTGTAGCCCTTTGAGGGAAAATAAATTTTATGTCACTAGAACCCCACTGTACGGACAACCAACGTTAATTACGGACAGTTTTCTTTGAACCTGGGTCAGTTTGGTGAGAATGGGGAAGGTGGGGGTGGGGGGGTTGGGTGGGGCTGTTTTGAGCATTCTACAATGTCGAACCAACTATGTGTCCCTTTGAATAATTTTAGCACAGTTCTATCAATATGACCTCCGTCGATACCCTTAAAGATCAAAATGTGTATCGTGTTACCCTTCCTGTGCAGTTCAGTACAGCATTTTATCCAATATGATAAAGAGAATGCGATTTGACATCAAAATTTTCGCTTCTCCTTTAGAGAGTCGAGATTACGAAACGCAAAGTCTTTAAAATCTTAGTTTTTTGCAACATTCGTTGTTTCATCTTGTTTATTGTTACCGCATTTTCTGTTCTATTTTTTAACTCTCTTGGTCTAGCAAGAGCTAGAGAATATAGCCCCGTTCTACTCTCTTGGTACACATGTATAGTCAATTTCGCTCAAAAGAGTGTCGATCAGGACTAGAATTGAATGGGTGTTTCTTGATGTCGCGGAAGTTTTGGTTGGTTAGTAGTTTCAGTCGTAGACTACGAGTAGTCCCCCATTTGTCTTCAGGGATAGTAAAGTGAGCGAAACGTGAGCGCGCGTGAAAATCACCCCACGCGAGAAAAGGCGTCTCGCCTTTCCCACGTGGGGTGATTTTCACGCGCGCTCGTGTTCCGCTCGCTCTACTATCCCTGAAGACAAATGGGTGGCTACTCGTAGTCTTTTTAGTCTTGTTTGGTTTTTAGTTTGGCGATTACATATCACATATGCAACTACAAAAAGAGAGTGCAGACATAAATGTTTAAAAAAAACTAACAGACGGACCAGTGGCCGGAAACAATGGCGGTCTTCACTCATTTTCTTAGCAAACTCTTCTTGCACAAAAAAACTAGCCTTATATGGGCCATAAAAAGGCAGTATTGCGCCATTATCATAGTCTATATGGACTTATGTAAGAAATCTAAATTATTTGCTATTTGGCACTGAATTTTTCATTGCCATTTTAAAAACAAAAGTTCACATTTACAAACAAATTCATGTCCAGAAACTCCCAAACAACCATGGCTCGTATCCTTTAGCTTTATAAAGTCTCCAGGTATTTGACCGATAGTGTAGTGCGACCTTTACTTTAAGGGAACGTAGAAATTTGGCAACTTTGCGGCAAACATTAAAAACTCATCGTGTGTTCTCTTACCTCCATTTTCGAATGAACATTCGAATTAATCAGGTGATGATGTTTATAATGTGAGCTTGAGGAATGGTCGTCAGATCAAACGTGTCCTGCCAGGTCCAATTAATCATTGTGGTTGTAATTCTTGTCAAATAGACTAGAAAGAGATCTGAGCGATAATAAGAAATTTGTAATAAATATGCACAACCAATAAAACACAAACACAGGACAAACGAACAACAGGTTTAAAAAATTACTTCACAAACTGTGGGGTCTACTCACTTCCTTTTTTTTCGTAAAAATAAGTCTGTGACTTGCAAAAGTTAATTTTACCGAGAAAAGTCAAGAAACAGATTGCGAGAATCACGGACCGGTTTATCTAATGCGCGTATTTTCGTATAAGCATTGTTATCTCAGAAATATTTCCACTGTTATATAACAACTTTCGGAAGTATCTTATTTTAAACTATGAACGAAAATAGTTTCGTATAGTAATTAAGCAACAAACAAACAAAATAAAGATTGATCAGTCACTTTCAAATCAGTTTCGTCCGTCACAAAATGATCGATTGATGCATATTTTCCAAGACGAAATATGCTGGGAGAGTTTTAATTTTTTTTTTTTTTAGAATTAGGAGTTGAAAAGTGATCGTAACTTATGAAGGAGAGTGCATCAAAGTACTTACAATTTGTGAGATTGCGAGCCTTCTTCTGAGTTTCATTTGATCTGATCAAGCGCATGGTTGCCGCCAAGTCCTTGTTCCACAGCTTTGTAGTAATCCACTGTGATTCAGCTTCGCGTCTGGCAGCTTTCTCTGTGCAAAATAATGTTTCCCAAGCAAAAAAGGAAGTTAGACAGATTTGATTAACATAATTATAAGCTATAACCTTAAATAGGTTATTCCTTGAGTGTAAATTACTTTTAGTTAAATGCATACTGTACATGTAACATACATGCATGTAGAACAATCTTGGCCCAGTCCCCGCGGCCCAAATACTGGTTCGTCCTCATCCTGGGTTTACTCGAAAACAGGGAAAAGGGCGAAGTTGCAATTCTAACTATTACATAAATTGTCTCGACCCGAATGCCTTATTTAATAGGGGTTATCTCCATCGTTGCAAACCTCGAAATGACGGTAAAAAGCTGCGTTCAGATCAAGCAACAACACATAGGTGGTATTTTTTTCCTCGATTAAAAGATTACATTACAAAGGTTCAGTTTAATGATGAAGTTATGAATATACGAAAATCATACATAAGGTTGAGTTTGTTAGCATGTTTTACAGCATCCCAAATGTAAACCTACAATTTATCAAGAGAAAAGCTTAAAGGAATTTTCGTACACATTCTCAGTGCAATGCAATACAACAAACTACAAGAAAAATTACTTACCGGACCAGTTTTGTTTACCTGTGCCATGCATATCTCAAACACGCTGATTGGTACATCTGCAAGTCGCTGATACTGTGGCCGTTTTGCTGTTTGCCGTCGAACACTACTTGGCTTACGTAAGCCAACAGATACCAAACCTCTATTCCACAGCCTTGCAAGGAACAAGCTTGAGTTCACTGATGGACTAGATTTCTTCGCAAAAATTTCCTTTATGAAAAGAAAGAAGCACAATTAACTGAAAGGAAATTAAAAAAAAAAAGCAACACAACAAATCAGTATAAAAAGCCAGGCCTGCCCAATGAACAAAGAAAACAGAAAATTATATCGAAGTCTCTATTTCTCATCTCTCTCTAATCAGAACTTTCTGGA